GTGTGCCTGGCTGTGGTCCACATAAGTGGGCACCACGCCCCGTCTCGGGCAAGTCATTCTCTCGCTGGATGCATCTCCATAGCGGCGGTCCCTGCCGTTGTGACAGCGTGCCGCCGTGCCGGGGCAGCACGAGGTGCAGTGCAGCTTGAGGTGCAGCAGCACCCCGTGCAGCCTGACGAGCAAGGAGAAGCAGCGGAGGTGCGCAAAGTGGTTCTTCGGGGTGCTCGCTGGAGCGAGCGGCGGCTCCCGTGCATTACACACTTGACTGCGATGGGATTTAAAGAGAAGCCCGGCCCGGGCCAAAGTTTAAAAGGATTCCCTCACATCCGCTTGGCGACCCCCGGCCCCGGTGCGAGGCGGGCGTTGCATCCGGCCGGTTGACAGTGACGACCGAGTAAGAAAAGCCTCCCCGCCCGGAACGTACAGGTTTCAATTCGCATCTGGCCTTATTTACGCGACACTGGCCACTTTTATCCCTTTTCGTGATAAGTCACCATGTTTTCTCAGACTGTGTGTTACAGAAAAGCGAGTGAACGGACTGCCATTTACGCGCGGCCCCCCTGTGGTCGTTGAACGTCCGGCCTGTGTGGCTTCCTCGCTGCGGCTGCGGCGGACCGCAGGACAATATGAGAGGAGGAAGTCAGGGGAGGATAGGAAGGGGCGGTCCCACAATAATGAGACCCTATACCCCCAACGTTGCTCCGCGCGGAGACCGCTATCGATACGTGCGATCGCGCGGCGGTGAGAAAAGAGTGACATTGTCAGTGCGATCTACGACCGGCTTTCGGCTTTGATTCTTTCTTTCTTTGACGTGACCCCTTTTGTTCGGTCCGTACATGTGCGCGGGTGCCTATAGGCGACCTTGCGTGCGCACTTGACGTCCCTACCGCTCGCTAACCGTCTTGTCCCCTCCTCTTCCCCTTTCCCCGTTCACCACCCCCTCCCTCGTTCCCTCTTTCCGGTGCGGCACCACGGAACTATATGACAGGTGCAACGGGCTGCATCGAAGCCATGTTGTAAGCGTCATTTCCTCGGTCGTCTCGCACTCCACCTACCGGATATCGGTTGGAAAAAATAATCTCAACAGACATTATTAAAATTTCTCCCATCTTCGCAGTAATATTAATTTACTCCGCATTAACCTCATCCTGACCAGGGCTCCGAACCAAAATTAATGATTTGCAGAGAAATACCGCGCTGTATGGTTTTCTCCCTGTTTGATTTTATTTTGGGCATCAGGTACGCGGCTCACGATCTCCAATGATAATTAATGTCGGCCATAGTGTACTTCTGATTACTTTATTCCTGTCGTGATTCCGCGCGGCGGCGTGACGCGAGGCGAGATCCAGATTCGTTATGACAAACGGTTCCGTGCGCAATCTGATGGGGATGCGGGGTCCATACCGGGGCCCTTCGCCACCTCGGCCACGTCACATCACCTTCCCCGCCGTGCCATGCTACGCCACCTGCGATGAGACGATTGCTCGAACGTATATTTTGTTTTATTTGTCTGACAAGCCATTGCCGTGTCTCTGATCCAGACGGCTGGACTGTCGACACGTAATCGAGAGCGAGCGAGAAAGAGAGAGAGAGAGAGAGAGAGAGAGAGGGAGGGCCAAGCAAGGAGGCAAGGGGGATGGAAAAGGGGGGACGGGGGGCGCTGGACCCGACATGACCATGAGAGCTTGACACCGGCTCAGACTTGGACCTCGAGACAACGATTTTCAAACGGACAGAGTAAGTGTTGGGGATGTGCTGTGTTGAGTTGACGACCTGGCGGCGGGCCAAGAGCCTTGTCAAACCGCAGTCACCTGGAGAATTGGAAGGGGGCTCGATGTATTGTACTTTGTCGAGTGCTACGAAGCACATTTTGTGAACGTTTACTTTCAATGCGTGTCCTTAGGAGACTTGTATAAACCTCCACGCATGCAAAATTATTCGCCACGTCTCTGATATCGACCTATCTATATCCACACTAACGCTAACCTTTCTCCCACCCACCTGCCTGGTCGCCATACTGAAGGGCTCCGTGGAAATCGGTGCTCAGGTGCAAGAAGATGACGGTGAACGTGACTGACCATACGTATCTTCTGCCTGAACTAGAGAATTAGTGGTTGCAGAATCACTCATTCCTCTAATGTCCTTCATCGAGAAGGAAAAGGGGGTTTGGTTCAGAGATCCGAGTTTTGTTTATGATGTCAGCATTTCTAGTGTCTTCACGTGTAACAATTTAACTGCATAGCCTGGTAAAGTAGGACCGATATCAGGTTTCCCTTGGGAGACTTGAGTCCGCCTGGACGTAAGATGCAGCTTCAGGGTGGCCATTAGTAGTGCAGGCAGTGCAGGAGGGCCCAAGCGTGTCTGGCCGTGGGGCCTGGCGCAGCGCAGCCCACCCGCTCGGACCACCTCTAGGCATCTGGCATGTGGTAGGCTCGGGGCCACCCCGTGTGGCCACCCCACGCATCTGTTTACTGTTGGCCCTTCTCCGAGCCACGCGTGACGGAGTTGGCGCCATGAGTCCGAGGAAATGAATTGCAAGCAGGTTGATTGCGTGTGTGTAGTTGACACTGAGTATCACTTTTCTACTCATCGGGATATTTAACTTATTGCTTGCTGCGGAGAATAGGGGTTTGCAGCTCAGTCAAGGCCACATGTGGCTGCCATCACCTGTGCCAGCAGGCAGGCTGGCAGACGCTCTGCAGATGCACTGCCTTCTTGACCCTCTTGAGGTGGTGTGCTGTGGCGAGGTCGTCTGAATATCATTTGGCACTCTGAGGTTCGGGTTTCTCGTTCTTGGGACACACGGCCGTGTTTCTGAGGAAAAAGAATGTCTACGCTGTCGTTGGGAAAAATATCCTAGTCTACCTTGGGGGGTTTGGGCGTTAATTTAATATCGATTATCGCTCGCCGAGTCAACCTGCATTCCAAACAAAATCCTCACACATCGGAGAATGCTTCGCCTTCACCCGATACTTATGCTAATGCTGCTGCATCGGCTGCCACCACCACCGCCCTGCCCGGTGCTTATTTCGCTGCTGCTACCGTGCTACGCGTGTAAAGCAAACAGGGCCCGACTGTTCCCAGGAATAATGTTTGGCTTTCCGATGGCTTGGACGGACCATTTAAAAACTTTGTCTTTTTATGTGTTTTCGATTTTTTCCTGTTTCTTTGACCATCATCCGAACCCTTTCCGTGCTCTCATCCCCCGTGCGCCGTGCACCTTTCTCAAGGACACACATTAGGATATTGTATTCGAGTGGAGCGGTCACGATTTCATAATTAGAGCAATTTGTTTGCCGTGCCTGAGGCCGGCCTGGCAGGCAGTTTTCCAGAGAAGTACATTCTAAAACTTTTCTTAGTGATGAAGCTGACGTAGGAAATGCTTTTATCTTTATTAAATCGCCAATGTATAATGAGTTTTCGGGTACGGCACAAGTTTGGTTTTTTCTAATATTTGGTGACGATACGTCGACTGACTTTGATATTTTACGTTTTCTGTAAATTGCGGATGCTGTCCTGCCGTTTAAAATAATGTTTTGTGAAGTTTTATGTTCTCTCCGAAATCAAATTTTGATTGAAAAATCGATTCCGAAGACGTTTTGTCGTTTTGCTGCACTGTAACGTCTGGCTGGATGGACCGGCATCGTTTCCTGACAGGGTACCCCAATGACGGGTTACCAAAAACGTGCCTTCAAACCGAAAGGATGGCTTTCCAAAGAGGCGAGTCTCATAGTGAGGGTCTTCGTAACACAGGTAGCTGGAGAGCCAACCCACCTCAGACTCAGGTGCCCTCAGCTTCAAGGTCAGGCTCAGGGCACTCCGTGTTGTTAAAAGATTACCAGGAGGAGAAACAAAAGGAAATATTCTTTCTTTACATTTTTTACATTTCGTGACAATCAAATCGAAATGCTCAACAATTACTTTTCTTTTTAAACATAAGTCATTGTGCCTTAGATGCACACCGTAAGTGTGGCGCCAGTCCAGACGTCCCAAACGTGTGAAAGGCTGTGTCCATAAAACTGTTGCAGACAGAGGGCCCATCATTACGCATTTACTTTAATTCCTTTACGCGGGCAATGAGTGTAAGGTAACATCGGAATGTGGGATTTGAACCTCATAAAAGGCTTTGACCGGTCAGTGGGGGTGTGGGGTGTGGTGCGAGGGGTCGTGTCAAGGAGTTTACTTTCCTCTGCCGTTTCCGCGTGGACGTTGTTACGCTTTTGCGCCCCGCTGTTCGAGAGGGAACGTGAGGCCACAAATCATGGGCGTGTGTCGTAGTAGTGTGTGCGGGGCGTCGAATCGCAGCTAATGGCTCACAGTTTAACCCGCATAGGGGGGCGGAGCCGGAGGAGCCGGTGCGAGCGATGCAAAAACACTCCCTCGGCAGTCGCAGTGCAGTCGCCAATCGAGGGGAGGAGGGCGGCCCTTTTATATTCGCACGAGCCGCAGTGGCATACCTGCATGACGGCTCTATAACAAACGGCTCTCCTCTATCGCAAGGCCCCTCCGCGCAACGGCACGCGCACACAACACACAATGAAGACCTTTCCAATTATTTATTTGCGTATCCTCCACTAGAAACCTATACCATTTTAATCTGATTTGCCGAAGACTGCAAACACGACATTCAATCGGACGAGCAGAAAATAAATGCATCTCTTCCGTGCAGACACACACCTCGGCGTGGCGGGGCGTGTAGCGGGGCGTCCGGTCCAGCACGTGGAGCACGCGCCGCCAGAGATTTATTGGTTATCAGCGCGTCGTTCGGCTGCGTCCGGGAAGGTGCTGCGCTCATCCCGGCGGATTCTTACGCAGCCGTGGGGAGACACCCCAAAAAAGTAAGTTCTTCGACCAAGTGCATTGTACTTGATCCTTGATTTTTCAAGTACATATCACTTGACTCAAGACTTATGCACTTGAAAAATGAAGAAG